TTTCACGGCCTTGTTTCTCTACCATGGAGAAAACAGGGATTGCTTCTTAAAGTTTAAAAAATGTAACCGTGTTAAAGACAGTATACAGGGCTGCATGAGGCAATAAAGAGGTGGTTGTGTTGTGTGGCCCTCATAAAGAGAGGTTGGCCACTTGTTAGTATCTTTCCCTTGAGGAATCATCTCTTGACATCAAGAAGAAACTGAGCTCTTGAAGAGGGCCAGGAAGAAGTCAGACGGCATCTCATTCCATGTCACAAACACAGGGACCTGTTTGCCCAGTACCCTTGCCCAGGACGCTCAAGTTGCCATCTCAGTTTCTCCAGCAGAAGCAATGGCCGGATGAGTCACCATTCTTCCCTCTGTTTCACGCACTTTCTGTTGCAGGTAAAGCAGGGAGTGTATCTGTTAGTTCTTGGTCCCCCATAATGAGATTGTATCCCCTAAATGTTCTGTTCTGGTTCACAAGCTCTAGACGCAAAAGAAGTTCTGCTCTTCCTCCAGCCTGAAAGCTCCTTGCAGAACCTTGGGCCATTAGGAAATCTAAGAGCTCCTCTATTACAGCCCGGCGTCAGTCGGTGCCTTCCAATACATCTCAAGTAAATGTCAAGCTTCTCCAACTGAACCGGGTGACATTTTTTACAAATTTTGGCATTCGGATGGAAGGAACGTGGTAGGAAGCGGTACATTGCCTTAGGGAAGAGGCAGGGTTATCTTGGAGTTATAAGGCTTGCAAATATTTATGCAAGGTGCTAAAAAGTAGCATCTCTCCTTCTTAAAATTGTGGGTCTAAGTGGGCTTATGCCATTACTTTGTAAGTAAATATTGCCGCAACATTCTAAACAGATTTATTAGGCCTGTCACCAGCAGCCAAATATTTATGTAAGCTCCCTGGGTTGAAAAGGTAGTTTAAGGAGACTGTTTTAACCGCAGCTTTGTAAATGTTTAAGGTAACATCCTGTCTCTTTGAAACGATCCCACCTAACCATATCGTCGTATTTATAATAAAAAGACAACACGTTCAAAATGATGCATTATTTCCTGCTGCCCAAACTTAGGCTTCAGACCTTTTATCATAGCTGGAAAAAAGAAAGAAGAAAGAAAGAAAGAAAGAGAGAGAGAGAGAGAGAGAAAGAGAGAGAGAAAGAAAGAAAGACAGACAGACAGACAGAAAGAAAGAAAGAAAGAAAGAAAGAAAGAAAGAAAGAAAGAAAGAAAGAAAGAAAGAAAGAAAGAAAGATTGATTATTACAGAGAGATCCTTCTATGTAATATCTGGGAAGAAGTCACTGAAAATATTATCCATGAACGTTGGGAGAGAGAGAAAATGTAACTTTTGTGGCAGATATAAGTAAGAGGGAATAATTTTAAATAAGCTGATTAGATCTTGCTTAGAATACACAGATATATTTAAGAGCTGTATTAATTTTTGAATCGGTCCATTTTGCTTTAGAAGGGCATTTACAACTAGTAATGAAGTTTGGTTATCAAATATTCTGGTTGCCAGAATAAACTCCGTGTGTGTGTGTGTGTGTGTGTGTGTGTGTGTGTGTGTGTGTGTGTGTAACTGAGCCAATTGTGGGCTTTGGTAAGTTCTGGTCAGTCCCACTTGCTTGTGGTCCTTTTGGTCTCCATCTCAGACTACGATATATCAGTCAGGACTCTTTCTGTTGTAAGTTAAAGAAACCAAACTCAAATGTGCATTAGCAACAAGGACCATGCCTTGGCTGATCTAATGGAAAGAGCCAGGAGATGCACCTTCAGGCATAGCTGGATTCGGGTGCTCAGAGGTGTTACCAAAACCCTTGCTCTACTTTCCTTTATATTGGCTTCACTCTCAGGCAAGCTTTAGCTACTTCAGTGGCCAAGATGAGAACCAGCAGCTCCAGACTTTTATTCTACCAGCTGAGCACACGACACGCAGAGGCTTGGTCTGGCCTGGGACAGATAGCTCATCTCCACGATTGCGACATTATGTGATTTACTCTAGAACCAGGGGTAGCATACGGTGGTTGGGGTCAACTGCCATGTAATCCCCTCAATTGGAAGAAGAGAAGGTGTAATAACTGGGAAAAAATATCTGAGCAAAGTAGCAAGGGAAGGGGTTTGACTGATGAATGTTGAAAATGGACCGATGCCTTCTATGGCCATGCATGGTTGCAGGACAGCAGTGTTCAGACTCTAAAGATGAGTCTGAGACGCATGTGTTGAGGGACCACCTGGAGACCAGAAACCACCTGCAAAGCTGGTGCCAGTGACGCTGCCAGGACATCGCTCAGTGCAGAAGGTGGAGGAGAGGAGCAGGCATGCATTTGTGCAGAAGTTTACAGAATACCTGTCACTAAAATTTCACCAGATCTGCCCAAATTTGTCAGCATCCCAGTACCGATTAACCTAACGGCATAGTCAAAGAGTAGGACAGTTTATCCCAAAATATGGGCCTTGTTCCAGCTGAAGTGATAGTGAAAATGCAGATTCCTGGGCCGGGCACCGTGGCTCGCGCCTGTAATCCTAGCACTCTGGGAGGCCGAGGCGGGCGGATCGCACAAGTTCAGGAGTTCGAGACCTGCCTGAGCAAGAGCGAGACCCCGTCTCTACTATAAATAGAAAGAAACTAATTGGTCAACTAATATATAGAGAGAAAAAATTAGCCGGGCCTGGTGGCACATGCCTGTAGTCCCAGCTACTGGGGAGGCTGAGGCAGGAGGATCGCTTGAGCCCAGGAGTGTGAGTTTGCCGTGAGCTAGGCTGATGCCACAGCACTCTAGCCCGGGCGATGGAGTGAGACTCTGTTAATTTCTCTCTTGTGGGAAAGTCCAGAGTGGAGCAGGTGGGCTTGGACAGGCAGGTGGTTCTACTCCGTGAGCTCAGCCAGGCTGGTGGGCTTGGGGTCTGTACCATCCCAGCGTGCAGCTTCCATTTCTTGGGCCCAAGACCGCCGCTCCCCACGCCGCTGCCATCGTTCCCCAGTGGTTGGGAGCTGACCTAGATGTTGCACACACCACTTCCTCGCTCAAATCATTGGCCCAAACTCGGTCCCAGCTAGACTGCGGAGCAGTGCCTGTCTCCAGGCACGCACGCGCCAGCTGAAACACAGGGTCCTGTTACTGCCGTGTTTCCCCGAAAATAAGACCTACCCATCAAATAAGCCCTAGCAGGATCTCTAAGCATGTGTGCAATAGAAGCCCTACCCCGAAAATCAGCCCTAGTGGTGGGCGTGGCTATGAAAATCAGCCCTAGTGGTAGGCGTGGCTATGCAAATCAGCCCTGGTGGTGGGCGTGGCTATGAAAAATCAGTCCTGGTGAGGGGCGTGGCTATGAAAATCAGCCCTAGTTGTGGGCGTGGCTATGAAAATCAGCCCTGGTGGTGGGCGTGGCTATGAAAATCAGCCCTGGTGAGGGGCGTGGCTATGAAAATCAGCCCTAGTGATGGGCGTGGCTATGAAAATCAGCCCTAGTGACGGGCGTGGCTGCGCAGCGCATCTGCACAACCCATGCGTGTCGTCGAGGAGCGGGAAGGAACACGAGCAGCCCTTCTCATCTGCCCCCTGAGAGCTCTAGTGCTCCACAGGAGAGATCGGGGCCAGTGGTTCTAAAGGAAACAGAGTCGCAAGACATTCAGGATGGGATTCGAGATTTGGAGAGTGATGATGATGTTCCAGAAGAAGACGACTTCACTCTATTTGAATCAATGGAGATGGTTGTACCGCACTTAAGAAAAAATAACACATCCCCTGAAAATAAGCCCTAGGGTGTCTTCTTGGGGAAAAATAAATATGAGACCCTGTCTTATTTTCGGGGAAACATAGTAAATGAAAACCAAGAGACTGAACGCAGGAATGGCGGGGGACAGGGGTGGGTGAGTGAGGGAGGTTGCCTCTATGCCTCAGTAGTTATTGGAAAGAAACTGAGTCTATAATTCCATTTTAGAAAAATGTATCGAGTGCTTCCTGAGTGCTAGCACTTTATCTTTCCCAGGAGAGAATCTTCCAAGATAAAGGGCTTCATTCGTGTGATGCCTTTAAAAGGAAAATCCTGATATATTTTTGAATTAACTAAATTCACAGTAACTAAATTAACTAAATTCACAATATGTAGGGTTATCCCTTACATATTCATTTCTTAGTGGGAAATTATAGCAGAGACAAACACTTTCTCTCCTCACTCGGCATCCATTGAATTTAACTGTTTGAGCACCCATAGGTGAAAAGCATTGAATGACTTCGGGGTGGTGTAAAAAGCTGGCATGATGTTCACTAGGAGCTAGAAACCAAACTGTTTTGGTCTGGCAAGGAAAAAAAAAATGCCAGGGCTGCAAGTGATCTTCCTGAGGCCCTTTGCTGCGTGTCATTCTCTCCTCATTTTCATGCTGCACATTTAGTCCTTCCCAAAATAAATATTTCAGCACAGCCCTTTGGAAGCAGAGAAAGCTCTGGGCTGGGAGGCAGAAACCCCAGGTGTGGGTAATGGTTCTGCCACGAAAGAGTTGTGTGACCATTAAAAATAACAGCCAGGGCCTCCTTTCTGTTCATTAATTCATGCCAGCCAGGCGCGGTGGCTCACACCTGTAATCCCAGCACTCTGGAAGGCCGAGGCGGATGGATTGCTTGAGATCAGGAGTTCGAGACCAGCTTCAGCAAGAGTGAGACCCCGTCTCTACTAAAAATTAAAAAATGAGCCAGGCATGGTGGCACGTGCCTGTAGTCCCAGCTACTTGGGAGGCTGAGGCAGGAGGATCATTTGAGCTCAGAAGGTTGAGAACAGCTTCAGCTGTCTCTACTAAAAATTAAAAAATTAGCCAGGCATGGTGGCACATGCCTGTGGTCCCAGCTACTTGGGAGGCTGAGGCAGGAGGATAGCTGGAGCCCAGGAGTTTGAGGTTGCAGTGAGCTATGATGATGCCACTGCACTCTAGCCAGGGTGACAGAGAGAGACTCTGTCTCAAAAAAAAAAAAAAAAAAAAAAATTCACGCAGCAAATGTATATTTGTCCCCTGCCCTGCAGGTGCCAGGTCTGCAGAGATATCCTCCAACTCTCACCTGCTCATATTCTTCACAACGCTCCGTGGATCCCAGCCTCTATGGACCAGAGAGTATGGCTACAACCTCATCACATGTACAAACTAAATAAACATGCAGCATTGGTGTTTGGGCAGAGACTGCTAATAATAATTATCTCCTGGTACCCATTGTCCTGTTCTTCCATTGTACTAGAATCCCTTCATCCTCCCTGGCAGCTAAGGGTTGCCATGCAACTGTTGTTAAGTTCTGGCCAATAAGCTGCGAGTGGAAACAACGTGTGCAACCTCCGATTTATGCTCTGAGAAACAAGAGGCGTGCCCTGCCATTTCCTTTCCGGTTCGTGCTGGCTGGGGTGCAGGCTTGGTGGTGAGCCATCTTGGACCACGTGGAAGAGAGCGACACCCAAGATGGCAGGGAAACAAGACGGAAGAAGCCTGGTAGCATGTATCAGTATTCTATTTCTCTGTAATAATTCACCCCCAAATGCAGTGGCTTACAAACTGTGAAGAGCTCACAGTTTCTCCTGGTCAGGCATCTGGGCATGGCACCCTTCTGGGTCCCTGGCTCAGGGTCTCTGGCCAGGCTGCAATCAGGCGTTGGCCAGGACTGCCGGGGCCCAGTGCTCGACTGGGGGAGGTGCATTCCCAAGCTCAGTGGCGTTGGTCCCAGCTGGCTGTGGCCCCGAGGCATTTATTCCTTGCTATGTGACCCTCTCTCTCCACAGAGCAGCTCATGACATGGTACCTGGCTTCCCAAAGAGTGAGCAAGAGAGAACAGGACAGGGCCAGCAAGATAGAAACCATTCTTCCTGCACCCCAATCTCACAAGTGACATCCCACTTCCTGCCATGTATAATTTTTTCTTTTTTTTTGAGACAGAGTCTCACTCTGCTGCCCAGGCTAGGGTGCTGTGGTGTCAGCCTAGCTCACAGCAACCTCAATCTCCTGGGCTCAAGCGATCCTCCTGCCTCAGCCTCCCACGTAGCTGGGACTACAGGCATGCACCACCATGCCTGGATAATTTTTTCTATGTATTTTTTTTTTAGTTGTCCAATTAATTTCTTTCTATTTTTAGTAGAGACGGGGTCTCGCTCTTGCTCAGGCTGGTTTTGAATTCCTGACCTTGAGCGATCCTCCCACCTCGGCCTCCCAGAGTGCTGGGATTACAGGCGTGAGCCACTGCGCCTGGCCTGCCACGTATAATTTGTTAGAAGGGAGGCCCAGGTCCTGCCCACGTGTCACTTGGCTATGCAAGGCCATGAACCGCAGGGGAGGGCATCTCGGGAGCCACTGCAGAGGCTGCCCACCGTGCCACCACAGTGGCACGTGCCACCACTCTTGTAGCTGGTCTGCTCACGCCACCACTGTTACGGGAAAGCAAAGTCAATACCCACCTTCCTGCAAAGCACGGTCTACACCGCAGCAGCCGAATGCATTCTTCAATTGACCAGCGTTGGATTTGTTCATTCTGTGAAACATTTCCCCAGTTAGCAAGAGCCTGTCCCCAGGTGCGTGAGTCGCCCCCGAGTCCTTCCAAACGCACGCCCCCGTCCGTGCTTCAACCGGGTTGGGTGGGCATCGGCTGTTTGAAATTAATCTCTAAGAAAGACCCTTGGCGCTTTGAGTTTTCAACACCCAACCTCAAATCAACATCGTCTCGGCGGCCTCATGGCGTCCTGGCCTGTGCCCTACTCCTGTCCCAAAAAGAGTCGCGGCGTCTGTCTGGAGAAACCCAGGGCAGGGTCAACGAGACCCGGGAGGAACCTGTGCGAGGGCGGGCGCGCATGGGCAGGTGGCTGAGATCCGCTTCTTTGCTTCCACGGAGGTCAGGAGCAGAGATGCTTTAGCGACACTAGGTGACAAAGGTCCAGAGGAGTCACCCTCTGTCCCTGTTGCGCTCACAGGCTGCTCGTCTGGGCCAAAGCAAGTGACCTGCGCCCTGTGACTGAGCGGTGAGAAAGAGCACCCCAGCTCTGCGGAGCCCTCCTGCTCCTGGGCGCTCTGCTCTTTGTGCATCTCGAGTCCCACGGCCTCTGGGAGGCAGAGCCTCCTGTCCTGACGCGCGTCTTGCTCCTTACGTCTCCCCCACGCGCCGCTCTCTGCCGGGCTGTCGACTTTGGAATCCCAGGCCAGGGTGCTGGGACGGGCTGCATCTCTGTTTCTCGCTGGAATCCTGCACATCCGTTCTGCGAGTCCACTCTGCATTTCTTCAATGCCTCCTCTGGCCACAGGGTCATTTTGCAGCAAAGCTATTGGCTGCACAAGGCCCGGAGGGTTTGCACCCGGCCATCCCAGCCAGGGCCCTCTGATGGGAAGGGAAAGGGTGAACAGGAAGGCGCCAGCCGGGCTTGGCCCCGGAGCAGAAACATCAGCCCACCTGCTCAGCCGTGACCCGATCCACCCCAACGGCCGGGGACGCAGCGCCTCCGCAGTGCAGGCGGGCTGGAGGATTGTTCCAGCGGCTGCGACTGTCATTGCAGCAGGAACAATTTGTCTAAGACGACAGCAGCCAGGCACAAGCGTTAGTGGCCGTGCCCTTGCTGGTGGCAGTGAGCCGCTTGCCAGTGGCTTCCCGAGATGCCCCTCCCACTGCTGGTTCATGGCCTCTGCATAGCCAGTGACACGTGGCCAACCTTGGGCCTCCTTCTAACCAATTACATAGTGGCAGGCCGGGCGGTGGCTCACGCCTGTAATCCAGCCACTCTGGGAGGCCGAGGTGGGGAGGATCTTGCTCAAGGTCAGGAATTCAAAACCAGCCTGAGCAAGAGCGAGACCGCCGTGCTCTAATTAAATAGAAATAAATTAATCTGGAACACTAAAAAAAATACTAGAAAAAATTAGGCCGGCATGTGGTCGCATGCTGTAGTCTCTCTGAATCGTTGGTATCCACGTCTGTGATAATAGTCGCCAGTGGAAACCACACCACTGTGGGAGCCAGAAACAGGTGTGCAGCCTAAAGAGGAAGTTGACCCCCTCGGCCAGGAACAAACAGCCAGGCTCTTCTGGGAGCAACGGAATGAGAGTGTACGAGAGGATTATAAACCTGCTGCATTCCCACGAAACGCAAGATGAACGG